AGTTACACTCTCACACAGTCACTCACACTCACACAATCACACAAATACTCTCACACACACTCACACTCATACTCACACACATTCACACAGTTACACTCTCACACATACACTCTCACACAGTCACTCACACAATCACACAAATACTCGCACACACAGTCACACTCTCACCACACATACAATAGCTGTCAACACACACTCCACTCATACTCACACCCATTCACACACAGTCACACTCTCACACATACACACTCTCACACAGTCACTCACATAATCACACAAATACTCGCACACACAGTCACACTCTCACACATACACATACTGTCACACACACTCACACTCATGCTCACACCCATTCACACACAGTCACACTCTCACACGTACACATACTGTCACACACACTCACACTCATACTCACACCCATTCACACACAGTCACACTCACACATACACACTCTCTCACACAGTCACTCACACAATCACACAAATAATCGCACACACAGTCACACTCTCACACGTACACACTCTCACACAGTCACACAATCACACAAATACTCGCACACACAGTCACACTCTCACACGTACATACTGTCACACACACTCACACTCACAAACACACACACCGAAGCTCACAGCACCCCGCGGCACACAGCGGGTGGCCGCACTGTCTCCCCGCGGTCCCTCCGAGCCCCATCCCCCCCGGAGGCGGCTGCAACGCGGCCCTGGGACTGGGGAGGGGGAGGGGCGGCCCTGCCGAGACGGGCGGGGGTGGTGGTGCCCTCTGCGTCCCGCCCTGCAGCCCTGCTCAGCCCGTCCCCTGCGGGTTCCTGTGGGCGACCCGGGTGCGCCCCGCGGCCTGTGATCCGAGTCCCCGGGCCGTCCCGCGCCCGCGAGCGTGGAAACCCCGCATTCTCGCGACCAGCCAGCGCGGCAGCCTGGCGGACAGAAACCCGGGGTTCGGGGAGCCGCGCGCAGGGCTGCTCAGCGATCCGTTTATTTAGGGTTTGGTGGGCGGGCTCCCTCACTCGCGGCCTTCGTGCCCACGCCCCGCGCAGGCGTCGCGGCCCGGGTGAATGTCCACGCCGTCCCACTGTAGCGCCAGTCCCCCGCGCCAGCCGCGCCCCCGCCGTGCCAGTGCCAGGAAAGGTCGCTGGGGCGCAGCGCTGGCGTGGTCAGACGGTGCCTGCCAGGGCTCTCCCCACCCCCTCCCTGGGGTATGTGGACCGTGGCGTGGCGACACGGTCACCCTCCTGTCTGTCTCTCCCGGTCTCTGTGTCTCTCCCTGTCTCTGTCTCTGTGTCTCTCTGTCTCTGTCACCCCCGCCCAGTGTGGCCTCTGCTGTGTTGCCCTTTGCGTTTCACCGCTGTGTTTGCCTGCAGCTGCGGAGCTAAAACACAAGGTCTTCTACGTTCTCTCTCTACTTTGTTTCTGTCTGCTTCCCATCCACTGACTTTTCTACTGCTGATGACAAGGTAAAGCTCACTGTTTCTGGTATTGCTAATTCCAGGTCACTTGGAGACTTTTTTTCTTTTTTTTTGAGACAGAGTCTCGCTTTGTTGCCCAGGCTAGAGTGAGTGCCGTGGCATCAGCCTCGCTCACAGCAACCTCAGACTCCTGGGCTCAAGCGATCTTCTGTCTCAGCCTCCCGAGTAGCTGGGACTACAGGCATGTAGCACCATGCATGGCTAATTTTTTCTCTATATATATATTGGTTGGCCAGTTAATTTCTATTTATAGTAGAGACGGGGCCTCGCTCTTGCTCAGGCTGGTTTGGAACTCCTGACCTCGAGCAATCCGCCCGCCTCGGCCTCCCGGACTGCTAGGATGACAGGTGTGAGCCACCGCGCCCGGCCGATGAAGATATTTCTCCTATGTCATCTCCTAAAAGTCTTATGGTTTTATGTTTCACATCTCATGATCTGTGTTGAGTTAATGTTTAATGTTGACACAATTTAATATTTAATATTAAGTCAATGAGGTTTGGGTCAGGCTTCTTTCCCCCCTGTAATCATCCGGCTGTTCCAGCTCTATTCTTGGAAAGACCCTCCGAGCACGGAATTGCTCTTGCTGTGCGATGGCCTCTCTGTGTCATCTACTCGGTGACACCGTCTAGGTGGCTTGGCCTTGCCGACACCACGGGCCCTGGGCTTCTGGAGCCACACGCTGAGTCTCATAATCAGGTAGTGTTTTTCCTCTCTGCTCGCATTTTTCAAAATTGCTGTGGCCGTTCTAATTCCTTTATCTTTTTAAATATAAATTTTAGATTCAGTTTTTCTATATCTACAAAGAATCCTGCTGAGATTTTGATGGAAAGTTCTTTAGAACTATGGATCGATTTGAGAGGTTGGTATCAGTACCGTGTTGCCTCTTACCATCCATGAGTATGGTATGCCTCTCCATTTACATAGGTCTTGTTTGATTTTTTTTTAAGGAATATTTTGTAGTTTTCAACATGCAGATTTGATGTGTTTTTTGTGAAATTTATGCTCATATATTTTCATTCTTGCAGTGGTGTTAAATGATATGGTGCTTTAAAGTTTGGTTTCTATTCGTCATTGCTGGCGAATAGAAATATGTTGTGTTTTGTGCGTCAACCTTGCATTCCGGGACTTTGCTAAACTCAGACTCATTGATTAATTCCAAGAGGGATTCTTGTTTGTTTTTGTTTTGTTTTCCGGGGTTTCTTTTGCGGAGTCGCTAGCTGGGAAGACGAGCGTGTCTTCCCCTAGTAGACTGCAGGAGCCCGGCTTTTCTGGAGCCTCTCTGGCCCCCGCATTTCCGTCCCCGAATCGTGGATCTCTCGGTGGGTCCGCGCTCCCCAGGCTCCACCCTGGCTGCTCCGCCCCAGACCCCGCAGTCCGCCCCACAGCCGACCCGGTGCGCCCTCGCTCACATGCCGCTCGGCCTCGGTGGGCGGCTCCAGGTCTGCGTGGAAACTGGCCCTGCAGCCCTGACCTCCGCCCTCCCTCGATGTCTCCGTCCGCATGTCCCGTGGAGGCCGTGGCTGCGTCCTGTCCTCTCCCCTGACGTGCCTCCCCTCCGTGACGGCCAGAACCGCAGAAGGGCCCTCCCAGAAGTCGCTGGTCCTCTGCAACCCTCTCCCCGTGGCCGGGGCGAGACGGCACCGCCGAGGTCCTCCTCCGCCGCGCCAGGGCGCTCGCAGACGCGGCTCGGGCCCCTCATCCGCCCAGTGGACCGAGGGAGAGACTGTCCTGGGCGGACCGTGCTGACCCCGGGAGTTCTCACAAAGGGGGTCTGGACGTTGGTGACACCCGGCGTCAGGACGCGAACCTGCGGTCCGGGAAGGAGCGACAGCCGTGCTGGGAGTGCCGCAGGGGACCGAGGCCTCCAGCAGCCGACACTGCGCCTGGCTCTGCCCACAAGAAACCGGGGGCCACGTGCCCACAGCAACAAGGAACTTCACGCTTTAAACAACCTGGATGCGCTTTGGAGAGGCCCCAGCTCCGGGTACGCAGCCCGCGCAAGGCTGACACCCGAACTGCGGCATGGGACGCCCGGAGGAGGGACCCCGCGGCGCCTGGGCCTGGGCCCTGCAGACACTGCGGGGGGTGGTATTTGTTGTGGGTTCGGGTCTCTGAGTTTGGAAGGTTCTGTCACACCGGATAAGATGATGCGCCGCTCGGAGTCCCGCACCCTCCACCGAATCAATCGCCCAAACCGCCCCCAAACCGTGCCTCATGTGACCAAAGCCCGTCCTGGGCATCTGATTGTCCTGCTCTTCTGCCTGGGGTGACGCCAGCCGCCGCCTTCTTCAGCGGCTCAGCGCCCCCCACGCGCCCCGTTGAGCTTCTGGACACGCCCTGCTTGGGACCCTCCCGCGATCCTCGCATCCCTAGAAAAGGCAGCACTCCTTCGCCTGCTTGTTCCGCGTATCCCTCCGCACGGCTGCCCCGCGGGCACGCACCTCCGCAGGCACGCACCTCCGCGGGCACGCACCTCCCCGGGCACGCACCTCCGCGGGCACGCAACACTCGGGCACGCTCCTCCGCGGGCACGCACCTCCGCGGGCACGCACCTCCGCGGGCACGCACCTCCGCGGGCACGCAACACTCGGGCACGCTCCTCCGCGGGCACGCTCCTCCGCGGGCACGCACCTCCGCGGGCACGCACCTCCGCGGGCACGCACCTCCGCGGGCACGCACCATGTGGACGATGCCGACTCCAACCCCTGGCTCTACGCGTGCTCGGGAGGCACGAGAAGCTCAGCGCACGGACCCGACATTCAGCCTTCACACGACCCGGGTAGGCAGACACATGTCCTCATTTTACAGGGGAGGAAACTGGGGTCCCCAAAGGACAGTTAGCTGCCGGCGTGTGGGGCCGCACGTGGCACCATCCCCAACCCCCACACGCCTTCCGTCGTCCTTTACCTGTGCAGAGATTGTCCCTCGACTCACTCCCCCGCCTCCCTTGGGGTCCTGCCTTATCCCAGGGGTACTGGGGTGTCCCCCGCTTCCCCTCCCATGGTCCTGGACTCCCAGCCTCCGTGACCTCGGGGCTGTGCCTGCGCCTGCGCGCAGCAGGCCTTGGACAGTGTGGGAAGGAGCGAATCGGGCGCCAGGGTGCAGGCAAAGCTGGGGGATTTCACTCATTAGACAGGAGCTAGAAAAGATTTGCTGTGAGAACCGCGTCTGCTGCAGAGGACAAGTTTATTTTTGCATTTCACAATGCCCGTTTGGGGCCAACATAGGCAGGGAGGAAAAGAAAGCAGTGGTGGGGCCAGCGTGCCCACAGCAGAGGGGGGGAGACCACGGCCAGGACGGCGGGGGCTCAGGGCTGGGGCACTGAGGCGGCTGCAGATCTGAAGGCAGGACTCAGAGGCGCTGCTCTGGCCTCGGTGGGGCATGCGGGTGGGGACTAGGGCTTTCCATGAGGGCTTGGTGGGCGCAATGCTAACGTCCTCCCTTTATCTGCCCGCCTTGTAGCCGGTCTGTGGAATGCCCAGCTCTGTGAGGCTGAGGGGAGAATGTTCTGGAAGGCAGGATGGGATTAGAGCTTCAGGGCGATGAGATGCAGCTTGGAACACAGCTCGAGAAATCTGCACTAGATGGAGTGACCTGGTCTGCAGTCAGAGCTCAGATCTTGCACTGGCAGCAGACGGGGGCACAGCAGCTGGACTGGGAGCAGCAGGGCTTGCAGCAGCTGGACTGGCAGCAGCTGGACTGGGAGCAGCAGGGCTTGCAGCAGCTGGACTGGCAGCAGCAGGGCTTGCAGCAGCTGGACTGGCAGCAAGATGACCCACAGCCCCCCTTGCCACAGCTGGAGCAGGAACAGGCTGGCACACAGCAGCACACGGGCTTGCAGCAGCAGACAGGGACACAGCAGCCGGAGCCGCAGCCCCCACAGCCGGAGCCACAGCCCCCACAGCCGGAGCCGCAGCCCCCACAGCCAGACTGGCAGCAGGTAGATTGGGAGCAGCAGGGTTTGCAACAGCTGGACTGGCAGCAAGATGACCCACAGCCACCCTTGGAGCCCCCACAGGACCCACAGCCCCCCTTGGAGCCCCCACAGGACCCACAGCCCCCCTTGGAGCCCCCACAGCCGCCCTTGCCACAGCTGGAGCAGGAACAGGCTGGCACACAGCAGCACACGGGCTTGCAGCAGCAGACAGGGACACAGCAGCCGGAGCCGCAGCCCCCACAGCCGGAGCCGCAGCCCCCACAGCCGGAGCCGCAGCCCCCGGAACAGCCACAGCAGCCCATGGTCCTGGTGGGTGGAGAGAGGTGCAGGTGGGAGGAATAGGTGAGAGGAGCAGGTGGGAAGAGGGTGCAGGTGTGGAGCCTCCTGAGCCCAGGGCTTTTATACCCCTTCCCAGGGTCACATGGTCACTTCCCTGTTGCTATTAATGCCATTTCTTTAGGGAAATTCTGCATTTTTTCCTTCTATGCTCTAAAATAAGCACACACACATGTTGTTCACATGAAGCTCTGTTGTGTTTACTGCTCCGCATTCTTCCGTGAGACGGTGAGTCAGGTGCAGCCACTAGAGGGACCCGGGAGAGCTCGGCGCAGCGAAGTTAATTTTACTCCCGGGTTCTGGATACAGGAGGCAGGACACACCTGCCCTGGGGGGCAGCAGGTGCTCAGGAGACGGAAGTCCGGGCAAGGCCACACTGCAGGGGGCGAGCAGCTGGGACAGGCTCCTTGCAGCAGTTCCTGTTGGTGCTAACCACGGGGATGCCTGGCCCCTGGCCCTGGGGGACAGGGGCGTGTTAGGGTAGTACCCAAGAGGCCCGGGCGGGTGGCTGGTCTGCACAGGGAGGTCTGGCTCTGGCCGGCCCAAAATCGGGCAGTCCAGGGAGGGCCCCGATCTCTCCAGATCAAAGGGTTTTGAGACGCGGAAACTCACTGTACAGAGAAGCGCTCGGGCTGCGTTTGTGTCAGTAGAATGCATTCACCCTCCCCCCAGACCTGGGTGACATCCCTCCCCGCGGTGTTCCCACTGTCCGGGGTGGGGCCTCCCCCCTGGGCTGAGGACCTGCAGCCCCACCCCCAGCCAGAGTGTCCTTGTAAAGCCCGTGGGCTTGGCTGGAGGGACCAGCTCCTCTGTCGTCTCCCTGAGCCCCTTCCTGCGGCCACATGGGCTGGGGAGGCTCTCTGTTCTCAGGGTCCAGACGGGGCAGTGACCCTGAGTATTCGTGGGAGGCTGCTACAGTCCCCCATGGGGGCATCGAGGCTGTGGGAGGGGAGGAGTGAGGAGGGTCCTGGCTGGGGCGGGGTTCCCCGGGAAGTGTGTGGCCTCGGCCTCTCACCCCCCTCCTGCTCCTCTCCGGGCTGTGGCTGCTCTGGGTGGGGTGGAGCATGGGAGTGTCCGAGCTGGATCACCCACACCTGGACATCGGGTCCCTGGTGCCGGCAGTGGCCTTGGGCACATTTCATACCGCCCTGCCTGGGTCTCACACGTGTTCCCTCCCTGAGGGTGGGAACGCTCTGAGAGCCCCCAGCACCAGGCAGCGAGCCCAGGACACAGAGGAGGTCGGGGGACCCACGAGTGTGGCCAGTGCTCAGTGTGGCCCCCACGGAGACTGACCAGGTCAGTCCGCCGTTGGGGCTCGGCGCAGGCGTGCTTGGGGCAGCCCTCGCCGGGGCGGGTCAGGACAGGCCCCCGAGGACGGAGCACCTGCCAGAGCCTCCAGGTGAGTGGGGTTGCCAGAGGGCGCAGGCGGGGGAGGCGGCCGGCACAGGGGGTGGGCACCGGAGACTCTTGTGGGTTCTGCGTTTGGGGGAGCGGTGGGGAGGGGTGACAGGGAGCAGGACACAGCGCAGCAGCAGGGCGAGGGGGCTGCAGGTCAGACGGGCAGGGCGGGGCGGCCGCAGGGGAGCAGGTGGGACGCGCAGGAAAGGGCCTGTCCCGCCCCCTTGAGCCCTGCCACCGCCTGGGGATGCTCGCCCAGCCACAGACGTCCCACAGTCACACACACTCACAGTCACACACACAACACCCAACATAGTCACACACACACTCAACAATCACACTCACACACACACTCAACAGTCACACACAAGTCACACACTCTCACACAGTCACACAACACTCAACACTCACACACACTCAACAATCACACACACACTCACTCACACAACAGTCACTCACACTCACACACTCACACAGTCACACTCAACAATCACACACAGTCACACACACTCAACAATCACACACAGTCACTCACACTCACAGTCACACACACAACACTCAACATAGTCACACACACACTCAACAATCACACTCACACACACTCAACAGTCACACACAAGTCACACACTCTCACACAGTCACACAACACTCAACACACACACAGTCACACTCACACACACTCAACACAGTCACACACACACTCAACAATCACACACACTCACACACTCACACAACAGTCACAACAGTCACTCACACACACTCACACAGTCACACACAGTCACACAACGCTCAACAATCACACACAGTCACACACACTCACAACACTCAACACAGTCACACACACTCAACAAAATCACTCACACTCACAACACTCAACAGTCACACACAACAGTCACACTCACACAGTCACACAACACTCAACAATCACTCACACATACAGTCACACACACTCACACAACACTCAACACAGTCACACACTCACACAGACACACGCAGGCACACTCAGCTCACACTTACGTCACATGCTCACCACACTCATGTCACCACTCAATACACCGGTCTACCACTCACATCAAACAAAACAGCCACACTACACAGTCACACACACATTCAGCGTCACTCACACAACACTCAACACAGACACCACACGCTTCACTACACCCACTCACAACACTACACAACAGTCACACACAACTCACACATAGTCACACCACAAACCTCACACAACACTACACACCGCACTCATGCTGACACACAAACCACAGTCACACACACATTCACACAGTCACCTTCACACATACACTCTTAGAACACACAGTCAGCACAACACTCAACAATCATTACACATACAGTCACACGCACTCACACAACACTCAACACAGTCACACACTCACACAGCACACGCGGCACACACTCATGCTCACCATATAGCGCTCCACATGCTGCACACACTCACTGGTCCCCACACTCAATACACGTCTCACACACTCACACTCACACAACAACTCACAACTTCACCATCAGTCACCACCATTCACGTCATCACACAACACTCAACACAGACACAACCCCTCACATAACGCACCATCACAACAAGTCACACACAGAACACACATAGCATCACACATAGTTACCTACACCCCACAACACTCACACACGCACTCATGGCACACACAAACACACAGTCACCACACATTTCACCAGTCACACTTCACACATCACTCTCTCAGACACACAGTACCACACTCACAATCACTCACACATACAGTCACACACACTCACACAACACTCAACACAGTCACACACTCACACAGACACACGCAGGCACACACTCATGCTCACACATATACGCTCACATGCTCACACATGCTCACACACTCACTGTCACCACACTCAATACACAGTCTCACACACTCACACTCACACACAAACAGACTCACACTCAGTCACACACATTCACGCTCACTCACACAACACTCAACACAGACACACACACGCTCACATACACCCGCACACACTCACACACACAGTCACACACAAACTCACACATAGTCACACACACAACCTCACACAACACTCACACACGCACTCATGCTCACACACAAACACACAGTCACACACATTCACACAGTCACACTCTCACACATACACTCTCTCAGACACACAGTCACACATACACACAGTCATACAGTCACATACACACACTCTTACACGTACACAGTCACACGTACACACTCATGCTCACACACACACACACATACTCGCACACACATAGTCACACACAGTCACACACACACTCACAAACACACATCCCCACAGCTCACAGCACTCCACGGCCCCGACACAGTGTGTCGCTGCACTTTGTCCCCCGCGGTCCCTCTGCTGTCCCCCCCGGGAGGCGGCTGCAACACGGCCCTGGGACTGGGGAGGGGGAGGGACAGCCCTGCGGAGACGGGCGGGGGTGGTGGTGCCCTCTGCGTCCCGCCCTGCAGCCCTGCTCAGCCCGTCCCCTGCGGGTTCCTCCGGGCTTCCCGGGTGCGCCCCGCGGCCTGTGCTCCGAGTCCCCGGGCCGTCCCGCGCCCGAGAGCGTGGAAACCCCGCATTCTCGCGACGAGCCAGCGCGGCAGCCTGGCGGACAGAAACCCAGGGTTTTCAGGGAGCCCCACCGGGCGCAGGGCTGCTCGGCGATCGGTTTATTTAGGGTTTGGTGGGCGGGCTCCCTCACTCACGGCCTTCACGCACACGCCCGCAGTGCCCACGCCCCACGCAGGCGTCGCAGCCCCCGTGGATGGCCACAGCGTCCCACGGTAGCGCGAGTCCCCCGCGCCAGCCGCGCCCCTGGCCGTGCAAGTGCCAGGAAAGGTCGCTGGGCGCCAGGCAGCCCGGGGCGCCCCTGGCGTGGTCAGACGGTGCCTGCCAGGGCTCTCCCCGCCCTCCTCCCTGGGGTATGTGGACCGTGGCATGGTGCCACCATCACCCTTCCTGTGTGTCTCTCCCGGTCTCTGTATCTCTGTCTCTCCCTGTCTCAGTCTCTGTGTCTCTCTGTCTCTGTCCCCCCTGCCCTTTGTGGCCTCTGCCGTGTTGCCCTTGCGTTTCTCCCCTGTGTTTGCCTGCAGCTGCGGAGCTAAAACACAAGGTCTTCTACATTCCCTCTCTGCTTTGTTTCTGTCTGCTTCCCATCCACTGACTTTTCTACTGCTGTTGACAAGGTAAGGCTCACTGTTTCTGGGATTGCTAATTCCGGGTCACTTGGAGACTTTGTTTTTCTTAAGTGCTTGTCACCCGAAAGAAACTCCCTCGTTTTAGGCCTTACTAGTCACACCCCTGCCACAGTCCTGACCCGTGGCCACCGCGGGAGTGATCTCGGGGGGCTGTCTCGGGGAGTGTCACGGTATGGGACTAGGACAGCAGCGACTCTCTGAGATTGGCTCTTTCTTCCTGGAGTGACATCCCCTGGGTGGGTCCGCGCCGTCAGGAGTGCCGGTGGGTCTCCCCGGTCCTCGCCGGGTGGCCCCCGTCGTGTGGCGTCTTGGCAGTTTTTGTTCCGTCCCCAGCCCCGCAGGGACGGGGAGACGGCCACCCCAAATGCAGCCGGGATGTCAGGACTGGCGAAGCCCCACACAGAGCGGGACAGGGCCTGCCACTCCTTAGCGAGGCTTTCTGCAGCGAGGTGGGCGCAGGTGGCTCATGCCGGGTGCGTGGCTTGGGGAGCGGGGGAGGACTCGGGCTGGGGTGACGGTGGCCGAGGACGGGGTCGCCCAGAGGCTCCGGGGCTAACGTTCTT